CGTCCAAACCTGGGAAGCTATGAACGAGGTGACTGGAGATATAGACATAGCATCGGGCAGAGCCCATTTGAGTCTTCGTTGGTGAATGAGCATAAGAATTGGTTCTAGAGATGACAGTCCACAGAGTCTTAGTAGTTCCTCTTCCTAGGATGACTTTACCCAAACCCTTTTTCTTTAGTACAATTTTATTTATCCATCTGGCTGAATGATTACTCTCTCAATGAAGTTTTCTCCTGCCTTAAGGCACCACAGCTCTTCCCTCTATTTTGCTGTCACTTCACAAGGCATGTTTCGTTGTACTACAGTAATGAGTATCACTTAACACCTTATAGCAGAGCTTTCTGAAGGAAGGCAAGGATTTTGTCTTCTTACTATTTCTACCAAGACTATCACAAAAATAACTTCAACAATTATTCCTTGAATAAATTATGAGTTGGAGAGTTAAGAAGTCATGATCTCCTTTAACAGTCTATAAAGTTTAAAAAAAGCTGAATATCTTCAAGCTTATTGTCAATAAGTCAGTTCAAACTCATAGCACCCCTCAGTGTATTTCCAAAAGTGTAAATACTGAGGATGGAGCTGTTTCTTCAACTCATAGAAACCCTGTGTGCAACAGAATGAAACCATGTACCATACTAATAGTCTCTGTTGTGCTTAAACTCATTCCTATAGTTACCGTGCCAACCCAACATATTAAGAACTTTTCTCTTCTTTGCTGACCCTGTGACATGCTCAAAAAATACGAGATGAAGTCATGTGCTGATAGTTAAGGAGCATTCAGGATGCACTATTTCTGTCTCAGATCTGTGTGTCTTTTTGGCATTCACATTCACACATTACCGTGAGGTCAGGATCAACTCCAGTTGCCTTTCTGAAGCTGTAAATCTCAAAGGGATAAATTATCTATCTTTCTCCTGAGTATCTTCTGGTGGATTAGAAACATGCTACATTAATTTATTAATTGCCTATGGACTAGGTCATCAAATCTCCTCTATCTCTCTCATGCTGACAAGTTAGAATAGACTCATAGCTGACCCATTAGTGGGTTTGCAGAATCTGTAAGTTGAACAGAATAAGATTATTCATCTTTCTCCTTTCTCCTTTCAGCAACAGAAGTTGCTGTTTTCCACACAAATATTTGTCAACCAGAGTTCCAATTCATGGTATATTTAATATTCTTCACACATCCCTATTTAAAGACATCAAATCTTAGTTCTTCCCTAATCATTGTTCAACTTTTACATTCACACAAACAACAGGAAATACATGACTTGAGATAGGTACATCTTAGTCGTAAACTGACACCATTGCTCTTTAGATTTTAAAGAGGTACCAGACAACAGATTTGCCCAATAAATACATCTTTTGATATTTTGATTTCTGCTTCCACTGGTATTGATTATAGATGCAAGTAAAAAGAAATCCTTGAAAATTTTAATCTTTGTCCATTTATTTCAGTGTTGCTTACTGGTCTCGCAGTGAGATTTTCTGTTTGCTTTATGTTGAGATGGAAGACATACCAAAGGCTAAGTCTTAGATATTCCTAAGTAAAGCCTCCAAGTCCTCTACTTTCACTGATGGTTGTTATCAGTTGGAACTGACTCAGTGACAGTAACTGACACACAGATTGTGGAGGATTATTGAGATTGTTTTTCTTCAATCCTATGCCATAGTCTTTTTCTTTATTTGTTATTGTTAGGTACCATTAAGTCAAGTATAACTCATAGTGACCCTATGAACAAAAGATCTAAAACCAGTCCTGTCCTGCTCCATCTTCACACTTCCTGACACACAAGAGCTCATTGAAGCAGTAACCTTTCCAATCCACCTGGTTGATGGTCTTCTCCTTTGCCAACCCTCCACTTTTCTCAACATCAAGTAATAGCACCTCCCAGCAATATGTCCAAAGTATGTGAGGCAATTTATTGTCCAGTCCTTAGATGCATAACAAGTTATTGGAAAGACCATGGACTGAATCAGATGTCCTCAAACTGATACAATTACTCCTCAATAATTTGGAGAAGTCTCTAACTGCAGCCTTTTCCACTGTAATAGGTTTCCTGATTTCCTGACTGCTGGTACCAAGCATATTAATTTTGGATTCAAGCAAGATGAAGTTGACCATTTCTATCTTTCCCCCATCTATAATGATATTGCTTATCAATCCAGTGGTAAGTATTTTTGTCTTCTACCTTCTAAAATTATTTGTTCAGAGTACACATTGAGCAAATATAGTAAATGAATGCCACCTTTACACTGAATTTAATTCTTTCTTGAATTTAAATATTTGTTCTGATAGAATGACTGCTTCTTGGTCTAGGTTCAGGTTGTGTGTAGTAGAATTAAAATTTCTGAAATTCTCATTCTTTGTTATTCATCATGATCTATACAATGGCAAATCTTTGCATAGTCAGTAAAACAAAACACTTTTCTGATTTTTTTTAAAAATCTCAGCCATGATGCATCTGAGATCAGCAGTGATTCTACAATCTCTTCTAAAGCCAGTTTGAGTTTCTAACCATTCTCTATTCATGTCCTGCTCTAGTAATCTGTAAATAATCTTCACCAAGATTTTGCTTGTAGGTGATATTAATAATATTGTTAAATAATTTTCCCATTCTGTTAGATCAGCTATTTTTGACCACAAATAAGCACCTCTTTCAGTTAGTTGCCTGCAAATCTCTTGCCATTGATACTTGAAGTGATACTATTATCATATTCTTGATGCCTATTTTTTAAATTCCTTCAGTGAAGTTTTGACTTCTTCCTTTAGTGTAATTAATTCTTAGTCATAAACTACTTCTCAATATGACTCTTAAAGTATTCTCTTTGGTAAAATAAGTTTATGTATTTCTTCCATCTTCTTTTGATGATTTCTGTTTCACTTCTTCTCTTGCCCATAGAATCCTTCCTTAACTATTGTAACTCACACTTTTTTCTTCATTTCTTTGGCTGGAGAAATGCTAGACATAGTCTTCCTTTTGGTTTTCTAACTCCACGTCTTTTCACATTTGGTTATGCTAAAATACTTTGCACTATCTTCCCAAAATGTCTTTTGAAATATTCTGTTCAGCTCTCTCTTCATCATTTCATGTTTTTCTATATACCCAAACAAATAAAATATTTGTAGACAATAACAAGTAAGTTAAGGTTTTAATCTATTGAGAGCTCTGTGAACATAACATAACAGAAAAAATTGTAATCAGTCAAATCCTCATTTGGGGGAATTTCTTCATAAACAAGTGCTTACACACACACACACACACACACACACACACACACACACACACACACACACCTGTTATTTCTAAAAGCCACAGGTTTATACCAAATCAAACAATTGGATGAAATTTTTTAACTTCACATCTTTTTTGTATAGATAATCTTTTGAATTTGAGAGTCAGCATCTATTACAACTGGTTCCAATTTATGTGCATGTAGTAGTAAAATTACTTTTAAAAAAGCCTGAGGTGTCAGCTGAACAAGGCATGACCTAACAGGAAAAGAGAATTTCAGTGACCCATTCATATTTGTTTTTCCAATATTTCCTTTTAGGGACAGACACTAATAATCTATTTTGAGAGAAGGCATGATCTGAAGAGTTTTTGCATCTGTTCTGTTCTGACTGTGTCAAGACAGACAGAGCGTATTGGTATTTAAACACGAAGATAATGTAAAAAAGACAGGATTTGGAATTAAGCAAGTATTTTAACTATAAAACACTATATTAATAAGAAATGTTTGCAAATTATTGAGTTTCCTTTACCTCAATTTTATTATTTGTAAAAGAAGATTAAATAAATGAAATATCACAAAATGGGTATGAGGGTTAAATCATAAAATGGATGTGAATAATTTGGTATAGAGTAACCAATCCTTTAAAAATACTTTTTCAACTACTTTTCCCTTAACTTGTTTTGTTGTTAATATAAATCTGACAAATTGATGTCAAAGGTATACACACAAACTTCATTTTAGTTGAACATTGTAAAACAGCTTTCCCCATCTCTAATGTTGTTGCTAAGCTTTGTACAGTCAGTTCTGAAGCCTGAACAAGAACCTTGAACCATCCTTTTAACTGCTAGTATGCTTCAGTTCACTCTTGCAGCCATTGTGTCAATCCTCTTGGTTGAGGGTCTTTCTCTCCTATTTCTCACAGATACAGATATATGTGAAAAAAAAATTAGCCCCACCCAAATATATTGTTCACAAGTTACACACTAAAAATCTATAGGTGAATTATTTCACAATAAAAGATTATTTTATCAAGTTATTTGGCATCTAAATGTTTAAACTGAATGCTTCAATTTTAATAACATAACAGCTTCTTTGGTGGAATCTTAGGGAGCTGTAATTTATTAGCAACCTTTTGGGGGACTGAAGAGGGGACAGTTTTTCAAATCCTAGATGCTCCTCCTGTGTACCTCTCTCATACAGGCTGTTACAGGCTCTTGTGGATTCCTAGAAAGGAACTAATACCTCTTGAGGTGTCTAAGTGTCTACCCTGACTAGGCATTTACAGGCTGACAGATGGATTTCTTAGATAGGTAGACACATTTACACGTAAGGTTTAAGTGGTGAGGGGGGGTGGAAATGTCACATTTGATGCTGATGAGCTCTGGTAATGAGATTCTTGTTGGAAGAAGATTGTGGGCACTGCCCCTTTTGGCAGCTTCCCCTAGAGTAAAAAGGAATAGAAGCAATATGCTTACAGATGTTGATATGCCTGTTACCGTGGCAACATAAGTCTTTGCCTTTGTGGCTGCTGCTAGAAATGTAGCATCTGGCTCGGGGCCCATCTGTTATACTGATGGTAGCATCTGCCTCTACCTTTTTTTCTGTGCATCTATTTTGGACTCTTTGTACTCTGCCCACCTTCTGCTATCTCTTCTGATGGCAACATCTGCCACTACTTGCTGTGGCTTTATGTCCAAAATTTTAAATTCCATAGAGTGTCAGCCAAGTAGTATAGTGACTCTAGCACCTAGATAGTCTTTTACCTGTGAAAAGCTGTTTCACTGAAGATGTTTTCCTTAGTCAGACTTTCTGTTCCTGATATTTGGATGATTTCCTTTGCAACCTCAAATTTGCCATTGTAGCATGCCCTAGAGTTATTGAAAATACTTTGTTAATAACAATAATAATACAAAGATAAAAGCAGTCTCTCTTCAGGACTTCTGAAACTATACTCACAGGTGCAGAGGGGTGTCTCCATAAATATTAACAACATGGGGCTGAACTTCTGAATCACTTTGAAGCAGGTATTTCACTATGTCACGGTGACCAAAGCGAGAACAGAAATGGAGTGGGACATGGTCTTCATTATCCTGAGCATTCACTGTCATCAACGAGAAGGGTGAAAAAGTACATTAACTAGTATCCTCTATTTCTCAGCCTTCATGTGGTAGAGTTAGAGACTTTTCTTAGCACCTGATAGAGTCCGGAAATGTGCAGTTAATGATGATAATAAAGAAAATTTAAAATGTTATAATTCTAGGCTATCACCAGTTACCACATTAAACAGGTTTCTTTGTAGCTCCCATGAATTCTGTAGAATGTATCTAAACAAATCTACCTCGCACAATGGAACACTTCAGAAAACAGCTTCACTTTGTGTGGCACCATAACCAACACTGCACTGTTTGTACCAGCAGTCAGGAAATTCAAAGATGAATAGAATTTGAAAAGTCTGCTGTCAGACACCTCTCCAAAGCACTGAAGACCAACAATGGCAATCTGGAGACTAAAGTATGTCTGCTTTAGACCCTGGTCTTTGGAATTACTTGCTATGTTTCAGAAAGCTGGACAATGACTAGGGATGATAGAAAGAGAACAGATACCTTTGAGCTGTGGTGCTGGAAAAGAGTATTGAACATACCATGGACTGCTAGAAGAACAAACAGGTTTGTCCTGGGGAGGGTGAAACCAGGCTGCTCCCTGGACACAAGGATTCTGAAGCTTTGTCTGACATACTTTGGACATGTTTCAAGAAGACACCAGTTTTGGAGAGGGAAGTCATGCTTGAGAGGGTGGAGGGACAGTGCAGGAGAGGAAGACCCTCAGTGAGATAGATTGATCCAGTTGCTAGGGTAATGGGAGTAGGTGGGTCAGAGGCAATAAGACTGGCAAGGGATAGGGTAGGGTGTAGGACTGTTGCACACAAAGTCACTAGGAGATGTAAGTACGTCGATGGCACATAACAAAAACTGCAATATACATAAGATAGTCTTGGCCTTATTTCCACTGGTATCGTCTTTCAAATAGATTTTTCTCTGGAGATTGATAAAAATAAAATTAAAAATAAAAGATTATGATCAGTTTGCCATTCCCAGGAGATTTGGTTCAGTAGGTAAAAGGGATGAGCCTTGATAGCTATATTTATAACACTGATTTTAAAAATCAATTCATTGCCATTAAGTCAATTACAACTAATAGTTGACTCTCCAGTGAGTTTATAGAGACTGTAAACTATGTGGGAGGAGGTAGTCTTTCTTTCTTCCATGGGGCAGCTGATGGATTTGAACCAGTGGCCTTTAAGTTAGCAACACGATTCCTTACATATTATATCACCAGAGCACCCTGTAACACTGTTTAGGATAGTTTAAATTTATTTTTATCTGAAAACTATAATATTTCACTTTGCAAGCACGAGCTAAGGTATAATATTTTTTAAAAGAGGCCAGTCTTACTGGAATATCATAGTTAAGTAATTGGTTAAAAGATGTTTACCTGCATTTTCTTTACTATGAGAAACCATTTGACTATATGGATCATAAAACTTTGTTGAAAACATTTTAAGAACTACATACCAGAGTATTCTATTGTGCTCCTGTGGAACCCACAAAAGCAGTCATTTCAAGAGAATAAGCGGATAGTGTGAAGTTTAAAGATAGGAAAGATGTCTCAGTAGTGTATCTTTATAACTAGCCAGTACATAAAACTCAAGCCCATTGCTGTTGAGTTGGAGCTGATTGATAACTGGCTTTCCAGCAGATTTTCAGAGATGCAAATAGCATAAATGAGGATTTTCCATCTCTCTCCTGTGGAGCAGTTGGTAGATTTGAACTACGCATCTTTTAGTTGGCAGAACAATTGTCTGTCCACCATGCCTCCAGAGCTCACTTATCAATTCATAGACTGAACAAATAATCCAAAAGTTGTACTGTATGAAGAAGAATATGGCAAAAGGATTGGAGGAAAGCTCATCCACAACATGCTGTATGTAGAGACACAATCTTGCTTGATGCCACTTTGAGGAATAAGGCATGCCTAACCCCAGACTTGTTTTATTCCCCCAATCACCTCATTTGCATGTTATGCTTGTATTGAATAAAGATTAAAATAAATTTGTATCTTTTCATGAAAATGATGGTGAAGAATAGTGATTGTATCATAGATTGTCAGAAGAGTAAAGAAATTTGTCTTAGAAGAAATGCAGCCAGTATGTTCCTTAGAAGCGAGAATGCTGAGACTTCATCTAATGTGCTTTGTTGATTGTGGTATTGGGTTTATTGTTCAAAATAACACGCTTAGTCATTGATTAAGGGAGCTAGGTGGCCTAGTGGTAAGAAACTGTGCTACAATTGTAAAGGCATGTGGTTTGAATCTCTCAGCTACTCTCAGTAGGAGAAAGATGGGCAACCTCATCCCATGTGATTTATTGCTTCTGAAAACTGCTGTAGGGTCAGCTATGAGTCAGGTCTGACTGCACAATACTCAGCAACAACAGTCATTGATTGCCTTTGATCTTGCCACAAGGTTGGGTGGGAATATATGAATAGAGTGTGTTAGTTTATCCACTAGTGAATTAGCTAAACTCACCATTAAACTGTGTAGATTTAAGAGCAGAAATCGGGAATCTCAGCATCAATTCTGAAGAAGCAGGAGCATATATTCTTAAGGGTCGAAGAGTCCTGCATAACTGAGATGGAGACCTAAAGGAACAGCAGCAGCCAGCAGCCTCGGCAGAAAACCAGAAACTCACCCAAGACAGAGGCAAAGGCCTTTACTTAAGAGCTTCTGGAGGACTGACAGGAGATACCATAAGTGGTAGGACTAAGAGAACTTTTTGACACTGGCCTAGACTGTAAGGCTGAGGGCCAGATGGCCTGTGGCTATGTTTGAGAAGTTGTCAGGACTGTATCTTGTTGCAATCTGAGTTTTAGCCTGTTAACTTACCAAATAAACCCCCAAATCATGAATACGGTTCTGTGCAAATTGTCAGCTATAGCTGTTTCAGACCCATGAAAGCAATAGGATTGGTATTAGAGGTGCAGAAGCATGTTGGATGCATGTCTGACCTCACGGGAATTGGGTTTGTATTGTGGATGCTGTTGCTGGGGTAGATCCCCCTTGCAAAGTTAGTAGCCGTGAGAGTTGTCCATTCCCATGCCTCCCTTGCTCTTCACACAGACATGTCATCAGCAGGGAGTAGTCACTAGAAAAAAAAATATTATGCTTGGCAAAGTAAAGCATAAGTTGAAAAAAGGACTCTCAATGAGATGTTTTGACATAATAACTGCAACAATGGCCAATGGCATCAGACACAGCAATGTTTGTGAGAATGGCAAAGGACCAGACGATATGTAGGATTGATATGAATTAGCAACCCCTAGGTGGCACCTAACAACAGCAACAACAAGCTGTTTTCCTTAATATTGAAACTGTTTTGTCTAATGTCTAATTTACTGTATATAACAGGTAGAAATTAATCGACTGAACTATTTTTTGTTGACATATAATAGCATAAAAGGAGCTCTGGTGGCTTAGTGGTTAGGAATTGCACTGCCATTGCAAAGGTATATAGTTTGAATCCGAAAGCAACTCTGTGGGCGAAAGCTAGACAGTCTCTTTCTGAGCAATTTACTGCCTCTAAAAACGCACAGGAGGTTAAGTCATGGGTTGGTTCAGAGTTGTTGATACACAATAACAACATAATCATTCATGCCAGTTAAATTGTATGTACTGATTCTGTAGTAAGAATTTATATTCTTTTTAGCCTAATGTTTGACAATTCCTTACATTTTGAGAATTGTTCTACTGCAGGTACTTCTATGATACCAGGCTACCATCTTTACAGTATTGGAAAGTGTGTTTTCCCAGACCCCCTTGGAGTGAGTGCACAGGATTAACAGAGGATTACTACAGTGAAACTATTGTCTCTTATTTATGGCCATTCTGGGTAGGGTGTTCTAATTCTTCCAAAAGGGATTGGCTAGCTGGACACAATCTTGCAAAGGACTAGTTGACTGGTACACAAATAGAATACATACACAAATACAAAACTACTGAATAGCATTTAGTTACCATAGAAGGAGTGGAGGAGTGAGCAGTTTGGTAAATTTGTGGTTGACCTGCCATGACTATGCCTTGAACCTGATTAGGAGCTTATTCATAAACAGCCATTCTAAGAGCGGTTTTTAGAGGTGCACTGAAGAAACGTACAAAAAGATATTGCACTAAAAGGTGGTGGGAACCACAAGATAGGCAGTTCCAATGGTTCTCTCTGGTTCACAGAGAGAGAGAGCAAAACACATTAGCTCAGCTTGAGGGATACTTGCTAGCAGAACAGGGTGCCATGGCACACTCATCATGAGAGCCAAAAGATCTGTACCACTTTTCAGAACAGAACAGAGGCCCAGGAAGGCCAAGCAGCAGAGGTGAGGCTCAACATAGTCCAACAGCAAGGCAGATGTCTCTGAACTCTTGCACCCTTCCAAATTGTGTGGTATAGCTGAAGAGAGAGAGTAGTGCATGGAGAAGAAAAGGATCTGCCAGTAAGACTAAAAGAAGTCAAGAAAACTGCTGTTGAATGCTATCCTAAATAACTAATAGCACCCTGTCTCCTAAATTGTATCCTTTTACTTCTAGTTGACTGTAATTTTAAATTGACGTGGGTCATGGACTGTAAGTAGAGTCCATGAGTTCCATGAAGTGACTGGAGCACAATGTCAAACTCAATGAGAGAAAGAAGAGGGCTAAGAGGAAGGAGATTAGTAGATAGTAGTGAGATAACGACATGATGCTTCTCCAGCAGGCTGAAGAAGTCTGGAAATCTTCAACATCTACCTCAAAGAAATACAATTTGTTTTGGTTTCTATTAAACAATTTGTTTAGTGCACATATGTCCAAAGTTCAGAGGAGTTATCCTTGCACAATTTTAAATAATGACCATTTGTTGTTGTTGTGCACTGTAGAGTTGGAATTGACCAATATCTGACCCTCTGGCAGGTTTTTGGAGGCAGTTTTTCACACAGGAGGAGGGTGATTGCCCATCCTTCTCCCACAGAGCAGTTGGTGGGACAGCTGGTGTCCTCGAACCCTGTGCATTCAGAATTG